GGTGAGTTGGATTTTTTTAAGCTTTTCACTTTCACAAATTTATCTTCTTTAACTAATGACTTTATTTCCAATTCTGTCCTTCCTAACGCTTTTAAAATTATATTAACTTAATTAACAGTTAACAATTTTCGTTTCTATTTTTTCCGACAGATGGCGCTACCTCCTCGAAAGCTTTGCTTTTTTTGCATATAAATACAACTGTGGCTTTCTCATCATTTCAGATTTCTTCTCTCCTGATGAAGAGGGACCAGTAGGTTTTGTCCTCGAAATCGATAAAGTCTTGACTAAAATCTACACCAAACACAGTGTTTTTGCTTTCTACAGACTACTTTTAATACAGTCTAAGACTCTAATACGGTCTTAGACTGTATTAAAAGTACTGAAAAAAATAAGCCAAAGAACTTTGATTATTCGCTCTCAAGGAATCTTGGAAGCAACGATTTTCCAAGATTCTAAAAGTTGTTAAAGAACAACCTAATTAAAACAAGAAGGGAGCTATTAGCATTGCATTTTATGTGTCAACTGAGTTTAGAATTACGAATTCTATAAACAATTATATTGTTATAACTCTATAATTAATTGACCAACTGATTCATAATTCTATAAGCAAATGAAAGTAGAATTGTGGATTTTTTAATCAACTGGCCAGTTTTTCTTTGAACTGTTAAAAATTTTATTAAGAGCCAATGAATTATTCTAGAAATTCGTTGTCGAGAAAATGAATGTCTGGGATCAATATTTTCTTTCTGGCTTTCACTCTAACTATTAATTGTTGGTCAATAGCTGAAATATTATGTAACATTTTAATGTGTCATTTTATAAAAGGATAATTCAGAATTGTTCACTTAAATATTAGAATTGCCAGGATGTTTAGTTGTGTCTCCTGCAATAACGTATAAAAGTACTGAGAAGGAAAATGAAACCCTATTCATTAACGGAAAAAAAATTATAAATATCTTGCTAGATAGGACACTTAAGTGGCTACAATCTGTAAGAATAATTTATCCACAAGATCAAATAAACAACTCATCAAACATTGACTATGATAATAAAAATATAATAATAGTTTATAAACATTAGATATAAGATTCATATATGGCCTGTGATAATAAAAATAACATAATAGCTTATAACTATAAATATAAAACTCAAGTACGGCAAAGCATAAATCTAAAAATCCAGTGAGTGTCGAAAAAGTTGGAAATACATTCGTATGATAAACATGCAGGAACGGATATAACCTAAAATTAGTTTTGAAGGAGATAAGGAGAGATGCTTTGACTGATAACAGAAGAAAAAAGTAGGGTTAGATTTTATTACCATGACTAGCACATTTGAAGGAAGATAAACATAATAATCTGTTATTTTACTTTAAAAATAAATCATAAGGAAACTTCTTTATCGTGAGTGTGTATGCACCTCTAGCTTTGCGTGAGTGATGAGATATAGCTATCTGCCTCAACGGAAAAGGTATTAATAGTGTTAGTAATCCAAAATTAAGTCCTACAAGTCATTAGTTATCAACTAGTTTATTATGAATGAGAATAATCAGTTAATAAAACCTAAGCTCAAAATATATTAAACTGTAGCCTATCTCAAATTCAATGTGAGAGTTTTAATCATTATAACAATAAAATATTTTATTACTCGTCTGTTCATTTTCATTTAGGAAGAACAGGATATTGTTTCAAAGCTGTTCCTTGAAACTGTGGAAAAACTAGGTGAAAAACTGTCACAGGTGAAGTCAAATGTACAACAAACCCTTGAATGTTGATTTATCATTCAAATGAAAACGATTACCTGCGATTACTCTCATACAGGAATCAGGAAGATTTATTCCTGATCCCTGAGCTACTTAATTGTATTCATACTGTAAGAATACAGTTTCAAATTTTTTAGACACCTGCCGATTTTTAGTACAAAATATTTTAGCTATTTTGGCTTATATTGTAAGATATTTATTCCATCCTTACTGTGTACCTTCGTGGTGTAATTGAAAGCACATCTAGCAAATAGTCAGACGGTCCGGAGTTCTAATACCGGAGAGTGTACTGGGCTCTTCTTTGATACTATAGCTTCTAAATATTGTAAATGGACTCAGCAGTGGCACCCAAACTAAACTTCAGTGTAATTCTTTATCCCTAGGACATGAAACTGAGTCAATCCTCCCCGTCCCCTTTAAGTGGGGCCGAATATATGGTATTTTCTCCCTCTTATCTCGGGACTTCGTGGTGTAATAGAAAGACCATCTGGATAATAGCTGGGAAGTCCGGAGTTGGAATTCCAACGGAGGCAATGCAGGCTTTTCTACTTCCCAAGCTTTTAAAAACTGTAAATTTTCTTTACAGTTTTACAAAGTTTTTGCAACAGCTATGTCAATAACTAGAAACATAAAGTCCTAGAATTAATTTTCGTGCTACATTTCATTCAAACATTTCTTAAATTAATTGTGCATATCAGTCTTTACGTTAACTGTTAAACGAAACTGTTGAAGTGATTTTAAAGCATATAATTCTCATTTATGACAACAACAAAAGGTTAAAGAAATCAAAAGACCTTTCACTGTTACGATAAATACATGATTTATATATTAATTTTTCTGTTGCAATAAATAGATAAGCTTTGCTAATAGTGTGCTTGAACATTTTGGATGCGTATAATTACTTTGTGATGTATTTGTCTTAGAAATTCTGTTGTCAGTCTGGATGAATTCTACGATGGTTAATTTTATTGAAATATCTTAGAAATACGATGATATTAAGCTCAAGAAAAACTTCAGATACTGGAACAACCAAAGTAAATGACTAAGAAAGAAAAATTGAGAAAAAAGAAGCATCATGTTCACCCAGTAATTTAATAAGCGAAATTTACGATTTCTTATTTCTAGAAAATCTATTGCTCTAAATGTCTGTTTTTCTTCCAAAGCACGTAGGATCCCTAGAAGAGCTGCATGAGAGGATTTCATAAATCTCTAGTGAGCAGACCCACATATGCTTAAGGATTAAGAAGCGTTGAACGAGCTGTCAAAGCTCTGGAAATGATACCGCTTTATATTTTCTTCTATATTGTATTTAGCGATTTACTATTAGAAAAGAAATTTTTGCTTTAGTATGGAAGAAGTATATCCCACGAGATCAAAATATCATTTTATAAAAGGATGAATCAAATCCAAATACCGGAGCTGATCGTTACTTTAAAAAAAATGAAATTGTAGCCTCATACTCGTAAATCACATCAAAAATGAGTACCGTTATGATATTTTAAACTATCGTGAGATCTTCCACTCATAGATATCTTTTTAATTAACTTGTTCAGATGGGATAATCTACGAAAATATTTTGAATAAGGAATGTAAATTCTCGGTATTGAGCTTCATCTCAACAAAACCAAAGAAAACTGTCATATCTTCTTCATTAAGTACTATGCTATGTTAGTCAATTCAGGCAAATCTTGAATCAAAGTAGCTAATAAGTCGGGCAGCAACCTTATGCCAAGTAATATACATAAGACATAAATCTAATACTATTTCATAATTTCGGTATCCGATATAATAACTTTATGAATGTTTGAATATTATACCCATTTTAGTAAATCCAAATTTAAAATAACTTAAATGTTAACTAAGTGGTAATAAAAAAACAAGTAATTTCTTTCTTTTTCTTTAAATTTCAAGTCTGAATCCCATTTAGCATTCCTTTTTATCTCTTTCACCAGTTTTCTACGTCTTGTCATAATATATCTACAAAACCATTCTAAGCAATTTATATGTTTAATTTACTTTTAAATTATGTGTAAGTGAAGTGTTTAATCTGATAAAATTTCGGTTCAGTTTTATTTAGAATAAAAATAGAAAAGAAATAAAGAATGGAAATGAAGAATTTTGTCTAGAGAAGAAGAATCAGTAAACATACGCACAAATACAGAAACTAAAGCAATATATTGAGATTTAAATTGTTGGTGTAAAACTCTTCTGCGTACTGAAGAGTCAAATATATATAGTTGTTTCATTTATCGGAAATTGAGGGTTTGAATTATTACGATGCAAGTTATGTTTGATAACGTTATATCTTAGCTTAGATTTGGTTCTTATCTTTATGTTTTTAAGCTGTTAAAAGAGCTTAGAAAAAAACTTAAGAAAAATATCATTTTTATGATTTGTTAAAATTCTAGTCAAGTGACTTGCTTATTTTATATCTGAGAATACAGAGCCATGAAACACGAAATAGTAAAAATGCTATAATTATACCAGTTTCGGTAACTTGTTTTATCATTTATCCCTGTTTTATTACATCTTAGCACTAGACACCCACCTAGAAAATCTAGTGTACTTTAGAAATTTAGCACGTCTAGTGTTTTGAGTGAATTTTGTAACAGAATAATAATAAAAACCACTGCGAATCGAAAATTTTCTCCTCAATGGCCGGTTAACATAGTCTTTCTAAAATCTGAAAGCTATCATGTAAACCACTAACAAATAACACGTACTTAAATTTTTACAATTATTTATACCCATCAGAAAACACATAAAATACTAGATAAAGCCCATCTAAAGAATTTTCTTTTGTAAATATGAGAACTCGTTACTTTATGCAAAGACTATTATTAGTTCTTTATCCTGTTACTGAACAAATTCCCATTTTATAATTAATCAGTTTCATTAAAGTGTTTATTAAATACGTAAATTGGAGCAGGTTAATTGTTTAAACTTATCACATTGTCTTTTAAATTTTGTCCTAGTTAGGCATTAAAGGTAAATCACAACTCTGAAATTACTTTATTATTCAAAATGCGTTTATTAATATTGCAGTTACAAAATAAAATTTGAAATCATAAACATACCTAACAAAATAGTAGCTTTTAAATTAAATTATTTACTTCATTTTCAAATTTATGGTATTTTTCTCTTAATTTAATAACATTTCCAGTTTTATACCGAATGTTTTCTTTAATACTAATCCTTTCTTTTGCTACTTCGCTTTAATATTGTTCACCGTTTTCAGGAGGGAGTCCTCCAATATCAAGCCGGGATATAATTATCAGAATAGCTATTCTGGATCGTCGAGTTTTCATCTGTGTGACTGCACTTGCCGTTCTCGGAGTTAGCCTGGCTCTAATCTTCTTATCTTTCAATTTATATTATCGTAAATTCAAGTAAGGATACATTATGAATATTTAATCCAATATTGTGTTCAATTACTGTAATCTTGTCGTTATTAGTCAATAATTTCTATCAGTTGACAAATACTGAGTTTTTTTATAATCAAATATTGTACTGAAAAACAAGCAAAGCGGTAATAGTTTGCAAATTATTCTAACAGAATTTTTACTTTAAAATAATCGAAAAGCAGTTCATTGCATTGCAAAAGTTAGTAAATAAAAAGATGAAAGTATTGCTGACTGGAGTTATGTTAGAACTAATCCAAGATTATCGCAGCGTTGTTGTTACGATAAACACAGTAAAAGTTATATAAGATTCCTCTATACCTTTACTGCATATATATATGTGCGTATGTGTGTATGTAAGATATAACAAAGTACGATGGCTACTTTAAAAATAATTAGCGACCTCAAAATTAACTATTATAGATATGGTACTCTCCCCTAAATCCATCTGTTCTCCCAAATTCGAGATTTTTCTATGTTATATAACATTGCTTGAAAAAGGAAAGTAAAACCCAAAATTAACCAATCATATCTTCTCTCTACAATTACATCTACTTCTGCATAGATAACGCTCGCAAGAAATTACGTCATTCTTTTCCTAGCTCCTGCCACGCTATCAACCCTTTGCTACTCTCCCTGTCTTTCTCTTATTCTAAACTGAAGTCGTATCCCCGTTAATCTGTGTATACAAGAAATTATTGTGAGTGCATATGCTCTAGAAATATTTTATCTACTAAGAAAATTATAGAAATTAAGAAGATTGGTGATTTGGAAAACCCCAATTTCGTTATCTTTGTCAATACGCATCCCCCCCGGGGTCGACGTAGAGAATTCTGCGAAGCTACTGGCTAGGATCTGTACCTAGGCAGTCTCGGCCACGGGGGTATAAAATTTATGAACTTGGTGGTTCTGAAGGCTCTGGGAAAGGTCACTCATTGGCCGGCCTCGGAGTCTGGCATGTCCTAGCGCGGCGTGGTGCTAGTAACCCGGGGGAAAACCCCCGGGCATCTGCAATGCAGCAAATTCATTTCTGGATAAATCCATACATATGACTTAATAACCCTGATGATGTAACTAATGGGGAACCTAAACCGAAACTCTGACGTAGCTAATTCAAAACTTGAACTCAAAATTTTGAAAACTAAAACCTTTCTCCTGGTAAGATTCCATACTGGATAACTGCGTACTTTTGCTTCTATTATTATTATCGCTAAACCACTGCTTCTCTGCTCTCTTCTTATCGCATCCGTATCAGAAATGTAAATGTTTCTGAAAAGGCCCGATTAGAGTGCCAAGCAAATTTTGGCCGCAAATGTTTATTGGAATGTAGATGAATATTTTATCCATCTCGACTGCCAAGTTTACTGTTCATTGCGGACTAAACATTCTTTGTACTACGCCATCAACATTGCTACGTCTTTACAGATTATACAAGTATATATATATATATATATATATATATACATATTAAAATTATTTTTCTTGATATATGATAAAAGTAAGTAAAAATTAATCAAATTAGTGCAAAAATACAACTTATTAAAACTACTTTCCTGCATCAATTTTATTACTGTGTAAATATTTCTTGTCGAATGGGAATAAAACACAAGAAACCGAGGCTTAACGGCATTGTTAAAATTTTCCGTCTCAAATCATTATCTATAAGTATGTTAAACTGAATTGATTTTCAGTCAAAGCTAAGTTCGGCAAATCCCAGCAGAGTATGGTAATTATGTAACTGACAGCTCAATATGGATCCAGCAGAGATGAGGTGAAAGTTTTCTCTTCCTCCCGTCCCTCTGGGAGGAGATGTCTTTCTATGTTTGATGTTTTAGTACTTTCGCCTTTGATATTTCTTAAGTTTCTAGAATCTGTTTACGTCGAGCTGATATATGTATGAACAAATGCATCATGGATTAAAACTTCTAATCTAATGAAATGTAGAATCGAGAATTAATTGAATTTTCACTTCATTTGTTCAATTAATAGCACATGTTTATTCAATCCCACACCTACAATACGTGATTCAAAGCAATTCATGCTTCGCGTATTTTAGAATTGCTCGTTATTTGTCTAAAGAGCACTTACAAGAATGAAGAATTTTGTTAAACCTGATCTCACACTGTATAAGATAATGACGTTTCAATTTATTATATCAATATTGAATCTCTTTGAGAACTTTCTGTTTTCTCTTCTTTCTTGTTCAATGCAGAATATATTATGCTCTGCTCGTTCTAACATTTCTAAAGTTTGTAGAGCACTATGGAAAAATTTATATCTAATAAAAGCCGAATTCTTATCAATTAGACTGCAACCGCAAGTGATACTTAACTGTATTAATGAGTCTGACATTATGATTTTTCTGCATTCGAGCAGTTAGACTTCTCTTTAGAGAGTTCAGAGAATATGTCTCTTTTCTAAATTCCTATACGGTTTTGAAGATCAGGAGAAAGAGAGTTACATTCACATATACGTTTTAAATAAATGTAATTTCAGATTTACTAGCAGGAGTTATCATTTTATTTCTTGATATTTTGTTACAGGTATTATTGCTTCTTTTAAACTATTACCTCGTTTTTATTTTGCATTCTAAACTATTATCTCCTTCTTATTCTCTTCTAACTATTACCTCTTCTTTATTATTTATTCTATAAACTCTATAGTGTGGCTTCTAGTAACTTGGCGGTTTATCATCTGTAGCTATTCTATGAGTTGCTAGTCTCATGGCCTTAGCACACAATTCTGTAATGATGACTAAAATATCATTAATTAATTTTCCTATTACAGTTTCATTTTACACTTTGACTACTAACGGGGCATATATGTACCAATAAAAGTTTAAAAATTACTGCTGGGTTAAAAAGCACTTAGAATCTTCTCAATGTTGGAGATAATCTTCCATTAGTTGGAAAATCAAGACGCCGCTCTGCTTGTTGTACACAAATGAACATAGAGCAAAAAACAAATATGAGTTGCCAATGTGTAATGTTGTGTTATTCAAATAATGCATTTTACCCTGTACCATAGGATGTAAATCTATTTCATATAATAAAGTTTTCCAGAATAATATATTTGCTTATAGTAAGTCGATCGCTGCGTGTGGGACATATGTATCCTACTATTAACTACGTCTGGGACATATATGTCCCAGCCTTTGGCTTGAAATCCGTTCATCAAAAAACTTCCAAGGGCGAAATTTACCTTATTTATGACGTATTTTGTTCACTTGGGTTGAAAATGGGGTTACAAAAGATCCATTGTCAAGGGGTTAAGAGTTCCAGATTTGTCTACGCATATAATTGTGCTTGCTTATCTGCTTCATTCACACTTAAAACAATTTCATTTCTTTCTTAAAATTACTTTGGGAGTCTAATGCTAAAAATTAAAACCTAATTGGAAATTAGCTAGAAGTTCGTCCACCACCATAAACAAATTTCTGATAATTCCAAATTCTTCGCCTTTAAAATACTATTGAAAACGTCATAAATATGTGTGTGTACCTATCACCTTTATTCCACTTATATAATCTTCAGCCACCTAAAGTTCTGCAAGGAATTTTTACTGACAGTAGACACTGGCCCAGTGTAGTCGTAGAAAACCTGTTTAAACTAACTTGTTAGTGGGGCAACTCTTTTAAATTTATTAAAGCAATTAGTACTACAGCAGCCTACATAACACATTTCCCTTTCCTTGTTTGTCTTTATTTTTTCTCCAAAGGTTTTCCAAAGACCTATTTCTTCACTCTTCTAAATTTAAATTATTAGAATTTATAAAAAAATCCTTTCGAAATGCTGCTGTTAGTGCTACTGAAAATTAGTCATGGAGGGTTCTATTAAACGTCGGTTCTCCTCGTGCTACTGCTGTGGCTGAGTTTAGACTATTGACTGGATATGACTGCCTTGGTGCTCATTTGTTTTGTTTTAATCTGACTGCCTCGCCTTTATGTGCTTTGCGTGATTCTGGACAAGTCATGGACGCTGCTCATCTGGACGTGTGCTCTGTACTTAAGAGTTTGGACTGTATTGTAAAGAAGTATTGTAGAGCTCGTTGCCTAGTGACCTTATTGTCATTGGCCAGGCATTTGATAAATGTTTGTCTTTTTTTGCCGTTCTGAATACTTCATCTGCTTTATTTCCTGGTCAAAGATGATTTTTTTTCAATGTTCCAAAAATCGCTATTGATCAGAGAACATTTATGATAATTTTTATGTACTTGTGCACTGATTGCAAAAATGAAATCAGAATTTTTCTATCACCCACACACTTTATTATTTATTCATTTATTTTGGTAATATGAAATGACTTTTCCTCATAATCAGCGGTACTGAAACTTTAATCATATAATAACTCTAATACCGTGAGTGATAAAAACGTTTTGTAAGCAGATCTGGAAAATCAGGGGGAAAATGTTTATACAAATTGCTTTTGTTTTTCCCATTTTTATTAGTAAAATGTTAAGTTTTCACAGCAAAATTTTCCTTCTCTCTGATTTCCAAATTTTTGTTACTTCATCATCCTCGCTATATCGGACTTTCTTTCTGCCATCCCTTCAGTTATCATTTTAAAATTCGAATTTTTCCTCAGTTCCCTTATTTGATCCGATTATGTCTATTTCGAAATCTACATCTCTCGCCGTTTAGTAATCCTTTTGAAAATTTGCATTGGTTATTTCGGAATTTTTACGCCTTTCTTAGCGTGAAATCAATTGGAAAAAATGCTTTAAAATTTTGGGATTTCAAACTTCTAGACACTGCTCAGACAGTAATTGTAGAGGAATTATATCAACAATACCTACCTCTAATGCAATCAATGCATTGGAGCCTCCTCATGCTAGAAACACATTTTGGTAAAATGTTAGAATCCCAAATGATTCACTTATATGCCAAAATGTCACTTATATACGTATTAAGAAGTTCTAAATATCGTTCACAGTTAAAAGATTGTTGATTTAAAAAGAAAAGTTCTTTGTAAGCATAGTTACCTCACAAGTCTATACCAAATATTGGCAGTTTGCTTGGGTTGTAGATAGGCATATGTGATTTAATTAGTATTATCTTAAGAACAGTAATGCTGTCGCCACGTACTCAGTGGGATAAGCTAATGCTTTTCTGTATTCTTAAAATCTGTGTGTTTATATAAAAAATAACATTTTAAAATTACCTTATTTCAGGTTTATAAAATTATCAAGTCCAAATCTGAACAACTTCGTGGTTGTAGGCTGTATTCTAGTTTACATTGCAGTTATCTTACTTGGAATGGACAATGGAACTCTAATCCGTTCTGAACATTTTCCTGTTATATGCACTGTAAGTAAGATGTCTATTAATCATATGTAAAATTTGTCTATAAAATTGTTCTGTTCCATTTGGAAAGATCTCCAAGTGCAAAAGCAATTTTTGGAAAATACTTGTAATTTATTGTGTAATTAACATTTTGAAATGTTAATTGACAGAAATTTCTGTCAGTTAACAAAATGCTACTTCCTAAAATATGGTATAAATAGCAATATTTATGTGGTTTTAAATTTTCCTTTCGAAAATGTTTCAAATTAATTAGAACAAGTATAACTGTTATCATTTTTCTTCTGTGATCTAAATGTTTTCCAAGAATAACATATAAGTTGAAACGTAAATCTAAAATATTCGCATTACTTGCTTTCATTTTCTCTTAAATAAATCTAATCCTCAGCATAAGGCTTTGTTTTAAGAAAATAAGAGATTATTTTTCCTTCATTTGTATTTTTTAAATAGAAAATGTAAAAAATGTGAGGCATACTAGCTTTCTAAAAATCTTTACCTTGAGAAATGCATGTAATTAGTTCTTTTTCTATCATTTCTTCCTGAAAAAAAATTTAATTTTGATATTAATTTCATAATTATTTCCGCCACATTTTTCTCCAACAGGCTCGAGCTTTCTTACTTTCTGGAGGATTTTCCCTCGCTTTTGGATGCATGTTCATCAAGACATATCGTGTGTATCATATCTTTATACGAACCAATACGAGTATCGTCAAAAGTAAAGTGAGTAAACAATACTTCTACACATATTTTGTTTAAAATGTGCAAATTGTAAGAGAATAGAATGAACTTCAAAACTAAATGAAGTGCTTAAAATATCAGAACTATACAGAAAAGGAACTGAAATAACACATTAATATTACAAATCCTAAATTATAATAGAATGTAAAAATTATAAAACATCAAAATTGATTACATTATTCAATTTATTTTATTTGGAAGTCAAAGAAAAATGATTGTTTCTTCCATACACCCCTACATCTTGGCAAAATCTTCGGCGAAAGATCGCTATCAAAGTAGGTAGATTTTTTTAATTTGCGGTTTTTGTTCCATAAAAAAAGGGATTAGATATTTATCTTTACCAAAAATGTGTTAAGTAGTTGTATATCTGAATATGTTTAAAATGTATGTGGTATTCTTAAAGGAAAAGCCTTCTGCTACCAGTCCTCTTATATTCAAATAAGACTGAGCTGTTTTTACAAATGCTTTTAAATAAACCACCTTCCAAATATCGCAAGTTCGCCTCTCATATGGATGGAGGCTGTCTCACATTTCTGATACATTTCCTTGATTCATGAGAAAATTGTGTTATTATATTTTCATAGCGGCTTTTTATTCTCAATATATTTCCGTTTAAAATTATTATCTTGTGGATGTATTCCAAATCTCATGAGACCAATCTCTTCCCCAGGCAACTTAATAAATACTCGTAAAGAAGTAAGTTCAGAAACTGTTCCCATGCATTGCACCTGAATTTATAAATTTTACCAGAATTTTTTTTGATTATAGTAAATTAAACTGTAAGTTATTATAACTTTTATATTCGAATTAGAAATTAAATAAATAATGGAAATGAATGTTTTATTGTTCGCTATTAATTATAAATCTACTTGTTCCATTAATATTAAGCTAATTATACATCTTACGTTTTCTCATTTCTCTAAATTTATATTCGACTGAAGTCGATATCATCTCTTTCAAGAAAATAAAAGTAATTGCATTACCATTTATGTGATTAAATAAATCCAAAAATAAGATAATTTTATCCGCGTATTTATTTTGTGATAATGACATGTTTCAACAGAAAAGAACAAATTAACGTAATGATAGTAAATTATTTATACAAAAAACAGTGACAAAAGTTTCAGTTAAGTAATTAGATAACAAATTACTGATGATTTAAATGAACAAAACTTGTTTCGAATTTCCAGCTTCTAATGTTGTCCGTATTTAAAATAAAATCCACAAAATTGAAAACAAATTTATATTATGTACATATTCCATGTACAAGGCGTTTTTCCTGAACTCCAAAATGCCTGTTTGTATTTAACTTTTTTTTGTAACGTTTCAAGTCGAATATACAGGTCATTATTTTTTAAAATATAATAGTTCTGTTTTCGGGAGTAAAACCTTCTCCTCCGTGATGACGGGGAGCTCCTTTCATTTGTTGGTTCATTCTGTTTTTCCGTCAATTACTCCCTCAGTCTTCACTTTATCTGTTACGCAGTGTCCGCCGATAATATCGCTGCAAAATCATCGCGGGCGAAAACGTCGCAGAGAAAACAACGCAAGGCGAAAACGTCGTGCTACAAAACATCGTGGGAGAAAACATCGCAAAGAGAAAACATCGCAGTTCTAAAACATCGTGGTACAAAATATCGTCGTCGAAAATAAAGCGGGTTCAAAAACTTCGCAGTTTAAAAACATCGCAGTCGTCGGTAAAATATCGCGGCAAAAAAGTACCTAGTATCAACAAATCATCGCAGGACGATAACATCGCAGACCTGCTTTTTTCAGGCTTTAATAATTGTAAATGGATAAATTCCCATAACTGATTTGTGAGCGCGAGATGGAAAGAAGATAATTTTTACTTTCATATTTTTTATTAACTAATCAATTCTTGCTAAAAAAAAGTAAGAAGGAAACTTAATACTTAAGAATAAACTGAAGCAGAAGAAGAAATTTTTTCATTAGAGTATTAGATTGACAAAAGTGAAGAAATAAATCTCATAATTAGCAATTTTTATAGATAAGTTCATGCAATTACGTAGCTTCCTTTTTCTAAACATTTTTAGATTATTCTTTTAATGAAAAATTACCAGTACAAAACTTATAAAAAAATGATTTATTAATGACCTTTGTTAGTTAACTATGTCAGTTTTAAAATTATATTAAGTGCTATAAGTTGCCTTAATTTTCTATGCTTAAATTTCCTTCTTACTTTTTCAGCAAAAATTTATTAGTTAATAAAAAATATGAAAGTAAAGAATATCCTTCTTTCCATCTTACGCTCACAAATCATTATGGAAATATCCATTTACAATTATTAAAGCCTGAAAAAAGCATGGCTGCGATGTTATCGTCATGCGATGATTTGTAGATACTTTATTTTTTACCACGATATTTTCGACGACGATGTTTTTAAACTGCGAAATTTTTTAACCGCTTTATTTTGGACGACGATATTTTGTATCACGATGTTTTAGAATTGCGATGTTTTCTCTTTGCGATGTTTTCTCCCACGATGTTTTGTAGCACGACGTTTTCGCCTTGCGTTGTTTTCTCTGCGAAGTTTTCGCCCGCGATGTTTTCGGCTGTAACCCTGTTACGCATGTATTCTTCTCTTCATATGAGTGTTGTTGGCTCCCTGGTTTCTCTTCTCTTTTAAATTGGCAGACTTGTTTCGTCGCTCTTTTTAGTCTGAGTTGCAGAAAATAGGTATTTTCTCCTCTTTTCTATGATAACGCGTTAATTGGCCTTTTAACCGTGAGTCTTACTCTTCTAGTTCTTACATTTGACCTTAGGCTTTTCCTATGCTTCCTTTTCACCCTTCCTCGCTAACAGAATTGATGGCATGTTGTATGATAGAACAGATAATTGGTTGTGAATCTTACAGACAGAAAAGTCTTTTTCGTGGCTGGAGCTGGAGTGTATTCTATTTTCCTGCAGTCTCTCTCTTATATGGCTTTCCAAGTCGATAATCCTCCCGAAGTTCTTGTTTTAAAAATAAAACACAGAGCTTGAACTTACGGAAGAAATTGGGTGGCATGAAAGGAGGTTAGTTGGTTAGACGTCTTTAACGCACTTTTTTAAATTGATAAGTTTTACCCTGCTCAAAAAATTAGGTTCAACAAACTTGTAAATCAAAGCTTAAATTCTGATATTAAGTGCATTACTAAGTTTTGATACATTCCTTCTAGTTGTATGCAGTTCAGCAACAAAGAAACAACAAAACAAAATTTACTCATTATCTCCGAAACACTAATAACTCTTACGTTATGAAACTACGTGTCAGGTATAAATTTTTACAGCTACTTTTGGCAATTTAGAAGAGAAAAGCAATAAAAGAATAAAAAGGCAGTGATGAAATCTTAAGTATCATAATAGCAACTTTCTGAAAACGACAGAACGAACATCATACGAAATGAAGCAATGAGTGTAACAGTAGCCAAAATATCGCTGTGGGTGGGAAATTTATGCAAAGCAAATGGGTATAACAAATTAAGAGTATATGCCACTGACTATGAAATTTCAGTTTTCAAAGTGCAGTAACTTATTTCCCGGTTTAGAATCCAAAAGTGCATAAATATAAAAATGCAATAATAAGAATCACAGGAGAACAGTAATCCATCAAGTAGAGTTTTTTCTTGGGATAGTACGGGGAGTCCATGCCTGCTCACCAATGATCCATAATTCTGTTTGTAGTCAAACTGCTTTAACATGTGTGCAAAAATGGGTTTTGGTTTTGATTCGTAATGCGCGTACTTTTTTCGCTCCCCAGATGCCTACTTGTTTCCAGTGTTTCGTAATGCACGAGTGTTTTATTTATCAGCGTCCACGATTATTTCCGTTATCTTAATTTTAGGAACTTTATTTTATGAATTTATAAGATATAAGGTATTTCTCCCGCCTTCTTAGAGAGCCTTCGTGGTGTAGTGGTCTGCACGCTCAGCGCGTAATTGAGAGGTCCGCGATTCGATTCTTGGCGAAGGCGTTGCTAATTTTTCATCTTTCCTGCTTCAAAAAAAAATACCTAATATCTCTACAGTGGCGCCCGAGCTAAAAAGGGTGTATTGGATGATGATTCTCCACACCCAGGATTTGGCGATTAAGTCCCCTAAAAACCCCAGTCGCCCTTTAGAAGGGGGAGTATATAAGGTATTTCTCCCGCCTTCTTAGCGAGCCTTCGTAGTGTAGTGGTCTGCACGCTCATCGCGTAACTGAGAGGTCCGAGGTTCGATTCCCAGCGAAGGCGTTGCTAATTTTTCATCTTTCCTGCTTCAAAAAAATACCTAACGTCTCTACAAAGATATGAACGTTTTTCAATATTCTTACATATTTTTTACTTCAATGATAATTTATTATATGCGAATATAGCTGCTATGTTCCAGACCTAACAATTCTACGGGTTTCAACAATTTTCAACGAATTCTTATTTTTCGTTCATTTTATTGCATTTATATCATAACATGGAATCTTTTATATGGTTTTCATGTACAAACATTTTCTGTGAAGATTATATAAAATTATTTCTATCACAAATATAAAAAGCACATACTTACTCATATTGTATTATATTTTCCTAAATACAATTACTAAAAATGGCAAGTGCAAAATCAAAAACGCATTTTGCTGTCCAGCTCCAATGAAGTATGCTGTCTTTCAGAACTTACGGGTCCATCCGAGCCTTCTGAATACTAGTAATTCAAACTAGCTGGCTTCATGGCTCATTTTCTTGGTTTTCTCTATATGTGGGTGTATTTCGTCCTTAGAATGTCGTCTACGGAAGTATCCCTCTCCTTAAGCAGATAGCCTTCGTGCGCTTTTCCTCATTCAAATGACCTAATCTAACTTACAAAAGCATTTCATCTTACTTTAAGCGATTTATTTTACAGATAAACGATTAAAGCTCAAAATACAGAAACATCGTCAATTTAAACAACAAAAGCAAAACTTTATATCTGAAATATCCGATATGCTGTACGTTGTACATAGTTTAAAACTTAGATATATATATATATATATTATATTTAAATACTGTGAAGTGAATCAGCATTTTATCCATAATCCGTTATGAAATAACTAATATCTATCAAAATTTTGTCTTATTATTCAACTAATGAGTAAAAGCTTCAGTACCTTCTTCTGTTCATTGTATTTATTTCTTATTCATTTTTATGTTTTCAGCTTCTGCACGATCAGCAATTGCTCGGCATGGTTAGTGTGCTACTCTTAATTGACTGCGTCCTTGTAACGTTATGGGTAACGATAGATCCCATGCAACGCCAACTGACCAAGTTATCCATGCAGGTAACCAATTAATTTAATTCTTGATAGAATGTAATGAGCTCATCTTGATTATATTTATAGTGTATGAACAATAACGCACGTATCTGTAAATGCCTTAAAATGATAAAACGAAATGTTTTGTAGATTTTAAGTTTACAAGCAGCTGACGTATTATTTTTACAGCATTAGCAAAGAATTCCCTCGGGTTTCATACATCATGCCAATTACAGTCTGGATTAGCATCTTCATATGAAAAAATTTCCTTATGTATTTGTAAACATAATACAAGGCTCTGTTTACTACCTCAATTGTAAACAAATATAAGCATCATCAGTTAGCAAACATTTTCTCGGCAGTAACCTAAATAGTTTCAAACAGATTTGTTAAGATTTCTTATCTACCTCTGTATATCTATGAAGAGCAATAAGTACAGGGATCAAACAAAAATATGTTAAGCACTTTATTTCGAATTGAATGGCATCAGACAGTTTATTTTAGATCTGTCTCTCTATTAAAATGGGTTTCCGATAGAATTAGTTCTCTAAGTAGAAAATTAAGAATACAAAACATCTGCAGAAGATGATGGGCAACTGCATATCGATATCCAGAACCGCATGAATGATTACTCCATACTAATAACCTCTGAATAATACCATCGAGCGTAAATCAGTTATAGAGTTCTTTTCTTTAACGCAGACATAAAAAGCGTATTAACAGACGAATTTTTACCTTATGCGATGACTGCTGTTCTCATTCAAAGGACAGCGTACTCGAACATCTGACCATCTAGGCGTGTCAATTTCAAGGTGTGAGCCTACAATTCTAACTTCTTGAAGGCACCAAAACTGTGTTGAGAAAGGTATTATCGGGTAGATGCGGATAAGACACGCTAAGCGTAATCCTGAAAAGCATCTTCAGCTTCATATTCGCTGTAAAACATTATCATTTCACAGTATTGAATGAACACGCCATCAGAACCTCCCATGTGATTTCCACGACCCATATTGTAAGTGCTATGCGCTTCATAGAACAAATAGCTAATAATGCTCTCATCTTGTCACGTTTAAATATTCGGGTATTTCATTAATTTGACGGGTTATCTATGCCTTTTTCTTCCCAAGCCTTAGAACGAAAATAATGAGAGAGGCGCGTAGATAACGCGTATGAAATATTTCGGACAAACATAGTATTCATCACATATGGCTGAGATAAGTCATATATTATAAAAATTCGTCTGTAGGCACGCTGTAGCGAACTCAGTGCATTCTGTAATTCTCGTTACCGCTTATTGCTATGAACTGTTAATTATTATTAATTAGCGTACTTTTTAAATGTCGATTTATAGTAATTAGCTGCACTTGTATAACTGTAATTGATTATTTTCTTTTGTAGTACAGAGTTGGATTCGGTAATTTTCCTAATTTTCTGCTTGAGCTGCCTTAAGTAATTGCTTTTATTCTTTCGGTATCCACTTTACTAAATCTAAGGTCAGTTAAAGAGTCAAATCTAAGGTATTCAGTCTGAGACCTTCATTTCGAAATTACAGCAGTGTGGAAAGACTACCCTTTGGAGACATTATTATAAAAAATTGGTTAGTTCAAAAAAATATTGAGTCACCCCGTAAATAACAGGAATTTCTAGAGTAAATCCGAAAATAACGCAAAATCCATTTTTTCTCATTCGAGGCTCGATGGGGATAGTCATCATCATCCATAAGGGGGAAATCAGGGCCAATTGCAGCAACCTAGAGTCTCACCAGAGGGTGTCTGTCTTCACCCCCGATACCGCATAGCCGTCAGAGAATCGTCTTTAAAGATGTGCAGCAGAAGGATACGATAACCCATTGAAATTCCAACCACACCATAATGCTGCCACCTTTGAATGAATGTAGTTCTAAGATGTTCTGGGACTCAGTCTGTTTCTCGTTCTGTCAGGATCCTTACACGCTTATCAATGATTCTAAGGCCAGCTTTGACTCGTCTGTCAACAGGACGTTGCACCAATATCAGACAATCCCAATCAGATACTGATGATGCCAATTTAATCTTACCCTTCTGCAGTGGTTGGTTAGTGGAACACAAAAACTTGATACTGGAGCGTACAGTTCCTTCACATTAAGCCTACCCCTGACGATACTGGCAGATATTGTCTTACCAAGTCACGCTGTAACCATGTATTAAACAGTTGTGGAGGTCACTAGTGGATTCTGCTTGATTACTATAGCAACATACCGACCTTCAGAGGGGGTGGTATTCCTTGTTCGACCGGGCAGAAGTCTCTGGTCAACTTTTTATTTTGCTAGGAATTGTTTCCATATTCGGGAAGTTACCGAATGACCAATGCCAAATAAAAAAGAAACTTTTTTTATTGACTCTCCTGCTTCAATGCATCTGACAACACACTAGAGCTCGTTATTTGCCATTCTTCTTCTTTCAGCCATAGAAACACGAATATGATCAAAACTCAAAACTTATGCTACGAAAGTTATATACACTTATAACATTTAAATAACCTTTCGGAATGTAACTTCCCGCAACCTTTCTGAATGCTCGTATTTTTAAAAACTTCCTAATTAGCCTATGTTCGGACACAAGATATTTGCATATTTCATCTGCAACCCCAGAACGCAAGAACTGGATACCCGTCCCGGGATCCTCAAAGGGCCTGCCATATTGGGGTGTGTGTATACAAACTCCTGAGATCCCTTCACCGGCGGCGCAGACTCCGCAGTCCCTGCCCGGCTTTATGCAAAACATGGGATAAAGAAGAAAAACGCTTACAAAATACTAAATACTAGATAAGAAAGCTGGCACATCTTTGCCTCCTGGCACCAATCTATCGGCACTGACTTTTTGTCTCGGTGCCTTGTCCGCTCTGCCAGTCTCCATCACTATCTGCAACCACATTTATTTTTTCAGCCAATCATCTAACTATACTTCCTGAAATTGCTAATTTGCATTGCTTCCTTAACCTTTGAAGCCAGTGTATGTCGCCGTTTTAGTCGTGAGAGTTTTTTTTTTCAATTCAGTTCTTTGATGAAGGTTTGATTTTCAGAAAGCAGCTTGTAGTAGAAAATGTCTCCTTTGTTCAACCGTATCTTCTTTTATTAGAGGCTTCCTTTCGGTATTGCAAATGATATCTTGTCTTTGGTAACCCTCTGTTTGTTCATCTTTTGTATTCTTGGAAAAAATTCGCTTCTTTCCCTTGATTACTCGATTCAGAAAAGTCTCTTTTTTTTTTTAATTCAATAAGGTGAGAGAAGTAAATTTCCAGTCGTTGTTTCAAATTCCTATCCTTCATTTCGATTCGTGCAGAATATCCTGCCACAATTTAGAAACCTTTTATGTCAATTAAGTGCCAACGGACCTTTATTAGGTTGACTGCAGAAGCTAATCTGAATTATCTATCGTACCTGAGATTTTACTCTATTAATACAGGCCAGAAAAAGAGCATTACTTGTGGGATGACTCAGTACCCTTTTGAAAGCTACTCAGTACACTTCTGAGCAAGCAATTTGCTGCAACAAGCTGTAATTAAATACTACGTAATGATCGTATGCTTAATTTTCTTCAAATAAATTAAAAATATTCCACGTATTGACTTCTTTATTATTTTTTAACTCGTTTGTGTTTTTACTTTGCTTTCTGCTGCTGCTTGTAGTTTTTCCATTTGTTGTTATATATGTTTATTTTGAAAAATTCTGTTAGCTATTTACCGTTGTCTGAAATTATGTTTTATTAGCTTTTTAAATTTTCTTAGATTGCATTTATTTACACCAGAAATAGTATATATTTTCTTTCCTTTTGCAAGTTGGAGGTAGATTTCAGAATAATCACGTTAACAATTTTTTGAAGTTATTCTAATTAAGTGTATTATTATTTTTACTCCTAATGATGATTCCATGGTTTAGGAGCACGATTTCTTCCATTTGGTTCATATGTTTTCGCTATAATGTATGCTTTCCTGATGAAAAATGCATAACGGGTCAGTTTTGCAATCCCACTTTACATATTTTATTTTATATTGTGAAATTTATATTGATTATAACTTTTATGACAACGTTGACCATTATTTCGTAAATCCGTCATGTTTCAGGTTTTATTTTGTTATAAGCAGTTTTGTTTTATATTACCTTGCTTTCGTTGTTCATACTTTAATTTTTGATTATTTAGGGCAAGCTCAAATGATAAGCTTAAATTAACTCACAGTGGACATTAGAGGGAAAATGGGACTAATTAAAATAAAAACTTACACAAAAAATATTATCAGAAAACATTAATTCAGTAAATTTGTTTATTAAACAACGAAATAAACATTCCTAAAACTTTTACTTTAATTATTTTTCAGAATTTTAATTTTCCATGTCTTTAACAGGTTAATAAAGATGAGCCGAATGTTGTATACATGTATTTAAAGGAGCATTGCAGTTCCACCCATATGGCTAAATGGTTGGGAAGTTTATATATCTACAAAGGTCTACTACTAGTCGTCGGATGCTACATGGCTTGGGAGACAAGGCATGTCAAAGTTCCTGCCCTCAACGATTCTCAGTATATTGGAATGAGTGTTTACAATGTAGTCATCACAAGCATCATTGTTGTAGCATTGGCCAATGTTATTCCAGCAGAAAGATATACTTTAACATTCGTCCTTGTTTCTACATTAATATTCGTATCTACGACAACTACGCTTTGTATACTCTTCGTGCCTAAGGTATAGTATCGTTTTATACCAATATAAGTTCATTTCATATCTTTTAAAAACATATTAATAACGAGATGAGAGTGGAGATCTCAACATATTTGTGATTACCTTCAATTCAGTCATAACGAGTATTTGACTGAATAGCAAAATGAAACCATTAATGGAAACGCAGGTATAAATATATCTTAGATTAGATATATTCAGAAGTTTAGTGTTTTTGGAATGTACTTTAATTTTTCAAGTAATGTAGTCTATTGTTGCGATTCTTAAAATATACAAAATAAACCGCTGCAAATCTAGAATTATATCTATACGTAAATTTTGGACCATTGCTTGAAAATAAAGCAAATTTATTGCAATCGGGATAACTATATTGATCTGTACGAAATTTTAAAAGCAGCCGCATCTCCCTTCACAAACATAACATTTGTTTCACTAAGTTCACTTTGTATGTTATTCACACATAACTCGTTCATGAAGAACAGTAAAAAAATTATAGTTAGTTAAGTTTTGAATATAAGAAGGTTTCATAACGTTGGTGGTAATCTGAAGATATGATAAATTAGCTCTTAAATGTCTTCTATAATATCACTGAGTTAAAAGAAAACTTCATTTTGCGAAGGAAATTTTAGTAAAATTACAAGAATACCAGAATTGACAAGTTTCCATTGTATCCCTTTTGCACACATTTCAGTCCACATTTTAATTACAAATCGAAATATTTATTCAGATGTCATTTTTGAGTACAAACATTGCAGTCATAAAACCTGTATCGAAGATTTACTTTCTTAATACAGGTTTTAAGAATGCAGTGTTGCACATGGAAAAGAACCCGTTTGTAGTGCAGTTTTTCAGGTGCATTTCTATACAAAATCGAACATCGAAATGATTTTAGTGAAAGTAAGTCCCAAGTCCTAGGCAGTTCTTTCTGCATTATATTTTTAGACTATTGATCATAAAAAATATTCTAATACCCAGACTTTTGAGAGAACTTGCTTTTTCATAGCAGTTTCGAAATGAAAGTACTCCGGAGTTCCATGTGATGAATCTATTGTTGAACAATTGGTATTATCAATTAATCTAGACTACTTTGTTAATTTTTGACAAGTTATGTGTTTCTTTAAGGTAATTTGATATGTGGATTCATTTCGGAACTGTGCTTCAGGTTCTTTTGTAAGTACCGTAAAGTACGTTTCATGCGGGTTCATCGCTAGAGAAATACACTGACTACCAATAAGTATTTGGACACCTATGCAAATGACGATATCTGCTGTCCTAAGGTACGTCACGGACTCCGCCGGTATATATCGTGTAGGAAACAGCATCGGCTTTAGTCGCATGCAAGATGCCTCGCAGTTTTTAGCTCTCTGATTTCGAAAAAGGTATAATTATCGGGTATCACAAATGTGGCCGATCCTTAAGGGACATATCTAGCGATGTGAAGTACCCAAACTCGACAGTGGCTATGTGATGAAGAAGTGGAAGGTGAGCGGTGACTATCGGAATGTGCCCCGAGTCGGCAGAACAACGAAACTGGGAGATAGAGACCGACGAGTGCTGTCCAGAGAAATTCGGGAGAACCGCACCCAACCGATGGCCCTCATCCGCGAGGAGTTTCAACGGGCATCCGTGAGTATTGTTTCAATGAATACCATCCGTAAGAAAGCGCATCTGCTTGGTTTTCATGGTCGTGCTGCTGCCCATAAGCCTTTGATCACAAAGTCCAACCGCGCTGCTCGGTTAATGGGGTGCAAAGCACATCGAAATTGGACCTTAGATCAGTAGAAACGGGTTCTTTGGAGTGACGAATCAAGGTTCACCCTTTACCGTTCGGATGGCAGGGTCTGGGGTCTGGCGTCTACCTGGAGAACGTCTCCTGCCAAGAATGCATTGTGACAACAGTCAAGTTCGGCGGAGGTGGAATTATGATCTGGGTGTGTTTCTCCTGGTATGGGCTGGGACCCTTGGTCCTCATTCATGGTAAGCTCAACTCCGATGCCTGCTGCACTGTTTTAGATGACAAAGTGCTTCCTATGGCAGTTTTACGGGTTGGACCCCTGTTACTTTCAGGACGACAATGCCAGTGGTCATGTTTCGACGTTAACCAAGGCTTGGTATGGTGCTAATGGAGTTCATCGAATGGACTGGCCTGCCCAGAGTCCAGACCTGAACCCTATCGAGAACCTCTGGGACGAGTTGCATCGCCGAATTCAGGGGTGCACTACCCGTGCAAAATCGGTGAAGGAACTTCTATGTCTTCTCCCAGCCGAGTGGAAGAAAATACCACTAGCTGTCATACAAAGACTTGTGGAAAGTATACCCCAGAGGGTCCACGCTGTAATTACCTCTCGTGGAGGCTCTACCAACTATTGATTTTGAATAAATTTAGTTTTTCTTTCCTGTCACAGGTGTCCAAATACTTATTGGTAGTCAGTGTATTTGACATTTGCGAATTCGTATATTTATAATTTTAATGCTAGCCATGATCTTGGTGTCTGTAGTATAATTAAATTGTATTCAATTTCCTTTTGCGTCTACGTTTTGCTACAGTATATCTTAATAAAAGCGAATGAAATTACAAAAGATATTAATGAAGGAAATTTTTAGAGTATTAGTCAGTTAGCAGAAAATATAGGTGTATTTTACACATAACTTTGAATAATTAGAACTGTGGACATGTGACAAAGCTGTGAATTTATCTTCTGAACATTTGTGTTTACCAATTCTGGATTAAAAACGATCACGTAAATGTTGCAAAAAGCATATTCTACACTTTCTAGAAGCGAAAAGAAAACATTATACTCTAAGATTCCTAGATTGTTTGTTTCTAACTATATAATAGCTGCAGATGACGTAATAAAGTACCTGCAATCGAAGCTAATTGTATTCATTACGTTTACGACTTGGACTGCGAGAAACGTAGCCAGGCAGAAGAATGGCATGTTTCTTAGACCAGGACGTTATAGGGAGTACAGCATCTTTAGAAAAGAATAAGGGGGTATACTTATCAGGATTTGTATGTCTCTTAATCTGATTTGGAAACATGACATGTCCTGAATGGGAACAGGGAGCTTACTCAAGCTATGTTCAAATATGTATGGAATGGACGACGCAAGCAGGAAGAGTTAACTTTATCCTTTATTTTCCACAATATTACAAGCGCTCCCGCACTTCGGGATACAAAGACCAAACACTTGTGGTCTGAACATAAAAATATAAAAACTACTAACTAATTAAATTTAAATCAAAGCTAACTTTGAATGCTTGATACTAACAGACTAAGACCAGTCTTTTAAATTATTACGTATCTAGTAAGCAAACTGCTGAAAACTACAATACATTTAAAATAACGAGAGGACTAAACCTCTGGGCTTAAAGGCAGACAGCAACTGATGGCAAGCTCGCGTGAAATACAATGGCAAGGCGGCTCACTTTCTCTCCATCTAACTCTGCTCTTGGCAAAAAGCCACAACTTAAATACAAGTACAATTTGCATAAACAAGTTAACGCGTTTATTCTGGCCGGAAGTAGAATATAAGAGAAGACAGTACAGTTTTAAAATAAAATAAACGTTAGTAAAACTTAAGATCCTTACATATTCAGAAATGAGTGCTTGCATGTAAACAATGTTAGTATGAATACTAACATGAAGAATACATTTCAATCATTGGCCTAATTTGTGAATACAAGAATTTTGGTCTTTAGAAAACTAAGTAAAACATTGCTTTAACTAGATTAATATGATCATAAAAGTTACTTCCACAAATTACAAAATGGCATGCAATAGTAAATTTGAAAATTGTAACAAATGAGTAGGTACAAGACGAATCTCTCTAAAATGTAATTGTAAATTTCATAACTTCGCGCTCATAGCAAAACGCCTTTTCGTTATATGAACGAAAAATACGGTCGTATACAAATTTTCGTATATGGATTTATATGTGTTTTTTGAGAAAAACTGAGAGTTCGAATTTAGATGCCCTTCCTTGTTAGGGGAATTCATACTATGTAGTCACTTCTTTCCCGGGGATTTCAACATAGATCTACTTACTTGTGTTCAGGGGTCTTATCACCTCGGCTGTTGGTGGATCTTTCGCCTGAAGAAATAAGAACGGCCCAATGTTAAATAGTATAAACAAGAAAGTCACTCTGAAGTACAGTTTTCAACAAGTGTTTTCAGTAACAAGAGTCTGGTGAATATGAAACTAAAAATAACAGTGATCCAACGAATGTAAATGATTCTCATCTATGGCCAAACGTTGAAAATAAAAAATTTAGAATATTATATGTCAAAATTGGATCTAAGCAAGGTAAGCAGCAAACGTTTTTAATTTTAGATAATTTTTTGTCTAATTACTTTTAAAACTGTCCCCAAATGGTAAAAAGCAACATCGTTGCCTGTTTATTTGTTCGAAAGTTCAAGACTCGGAAATGTACCGTTTTCGAGTTGCTTATTATTTTCTGGAAGCAGAGTTGAATGGTTTATATACATTTTTAATGGCTGAAGAAAACTGACATCGGTAATTTAAAACTTGAGCTTATCTTTTGTCGCAATGATTCTTCTTTTTACTTGTCAAAAATTGTTAAAGCGTATTATAAAAAATTTTCAAACACAACGAATTAAAAACTCGTGAGATTTTAAGCAATTCGTACCAACGCTAGAGAATAAAATTTAATTCGAGATATTTTTCATGAAAAGGATTCATTCTAGATTAGAGCAGTTTGTTTGATAATGGTAAAGCATGGTAGGACTATCTGTCGTAAAAAGGAATGTGTTTGTGGACGAATTTCTAAGGGAACCTGGTAGACAGTAACTCAAAAAAGTATTGGAGCGTAAGAAACTTTCAAACATTTAGTAATAAAAATTCAGTTATTGTTAACAAGCCTGTTTTTCTTAAAAGTCCTTCACGGGGCAACCCTGCCTTTCCGGGTAGTGCTTTAATGGTGGAACGCGTAATAAATTTTTAAAAAAATTATATATCTGCAATTATATGAGGTTATTTAAATAA